GAATATCGATATATTTTTGTTATGCATAAAGTACTGTATATTGATGCATATTACTTAAAATTCAAGATTACAAGTAATTATGCATAAATACAACTTATTAAAGCTCGATTTTTGAATTTTTATAAATAACTGCGGATAAATATAATCAAATAGAGGATGCACATCTCATTTTAAAATATAAAAAATCTAAAATATAATTAGAATAATTACCGAGTTCCAACAAAATAAATTATTATTATCTTTATAAAAAAATTATATTATAAAACCAAATATGAATTAATTCGTTATTGTACATAAATTATATTATTAAACCAAAAATGAGGAATTTCAAATAGTTAATTTGATACTAATATCAATATATTTTTGTCAAATTTTTATGATATCTTCAAACATATATTTTATTCAAAAATAAAAACATCATTGTTTTCTCAAAATCACATAAAACCATATTATAACATCAGCTGAGATAAATAATAAAATGAAATATTAAAATCACGATGTATCTCGCTGCATTGCACGAATACGTTTCTAGTATTAATAAATGAAGCGAGATTCCAAGATAAGTGAGCACCTCTAATTTGACAATACAAATTTAGTCTCACGTCATCAGCAAGGTTAAGACTTAGGAGTATCAAATAAATATAATATTAATAAATTCGTTTTTATTAAGATTTTTCAAATATCAAATAACGGTTGATATTTATGCATTGTATACATGTTTTCGAGATTTTCTAAGTGGTTGTTTGATTACCTCTTAATAGTTTCATTAAAAAGCAGTATCTGAATTGTTAACATGTAAATCTTGTTTGACATAAAAAAGTTTGTTTTTTAAGGGTTTTAAAATTCTCTGAATGATTTTGTAGTCTTTTTAACCATTCAACACTCTAATTTCGTTGTAAATAATTACTAAACAATTATATTTCATTTTGTACTGTATCATGAAAACCTTTTAATCATTCTGACTACTTAATCATGCTACACCAAATCATTCAACAACTGGCAAACAACAAATACATCATGAACGTTTCTTGAGTGACTTTACAAACAACCATGAAAAAGAACAAAATTCTCAAGTTGTTTTTTTCATTTTTTTTAAATAAAAAATATTAAATCTTAGTTTTTCAAATTGATTTTTTATTTGGTAAAAAATCATTTTCTATAAAACAATCACTATTTAATATAAATTTTAATCATTTTATATTACTGTAAAATTTTAAAAAGAAGTCTTCCTCAAGCAACCTTCAAGCCCAACAAATCTGATTCTCCACATGTTTTTTAAGAACGAATATCAGTATTCGAATCAATGTTGTAGATCTGTTTCATGCTTGATGTTATATGATTAAGTTGCAACATGCATACTATATACATGTTGGATATATTTAAAGATTTATCTGTGAATAATGTAATATAATAAATTTATTGTTGTAGAAACAGGCTTTAAGTATTTTTATACTTTATGCTTATTCTTTATGTCTTTCTCACTAAACAACGTGCATTTTCGTACTTTTAATGACTAGACTCTCACCGAGTGTGGATTAAGACCCTGAACCCTTTACACATGTCGTGTTTTACATCACATACAAGCAATATGGACTACAAACGAAATTTGATACCACCATGAGGCTATGTGAACAAGCGTTATTAGTTGAGATAATAAATTATCAGTTATTACAACATCAAGCTTTGTTACTTGACATATGAAAAACATTTTACCGTAAATATTTTATTTTAATTAGCTTTCTTTATGTTGTCAATACAAATTTTTAGTCAATTTGTACAGATATGGCACAAGGGCTAAGTTGGGATTTCAATGGGTGCTTTGTATCATGTCCCCTTGTCAATTATGAACTCCTTGTCAAGAGAGTTATAAGTGTTGTTGTCCTTGTCAAGAGAGTTATAAGCGTTGTTGTGACATCTTGAATAAAACCAAAAAGTTAAGGGTTAATGATGCAATTCAACAAAAGATGAAGTCCGTCGGTTATATAACCATTATCGTGAAGTCTTGGACTCAATACTAGATTGGGAAGCACGTTCAATTCACAGCATGTGATGAAGGTTAGTGATTCTGGAAGATGACAACAGTTTGGACTCTAATGAATACTCAATCTACGAGCAACTGGAGGAACCAGTATACCATTTCACTTCTTTGGTATTTTCTAGCAAATACCCTTTTAGGAAAAATATAGCATTAACTTGAGTTTTGAAGTTAAGCATGCAATAAAGTTTGCAAGTGTTCTCAAAGAATTCCATGTAAGAATTCAACTATAATTCATGTTTAATCAAAGCATCAGTAATCTACGATGGTGTATACTTGTTTATTATGCAAATGGATTAAAAACTAAGCCTCAAAGGCCATAAATTGTCGATGAATTGGTGTTCTAGCATATATTATGTGATCAATGATTAAAGCACGAGATGTTAGTTACTGGTTCAAATCCAAGTAGGAATAAAAATTCTCTTGTGGCCACGGAGGTTCAAATGCGGTAACTCCGGGCTATTTGTAAAGTAGGTGGTCGTCTTGGGATTAGTCGGTTCACATAGCGGGTTGGATATCCAGGTTAATAAAAAAAAAAATTAACATTTGTACGAGCTCATATATGACTTCCAAGATCACAGATACAAGCTCCCAAAGACAAAGTTAAGAGGTGGTATTGAAATTTCACATCATAGTAAATAATGTCGTTTAACGTCTAAATGTGTAATCATAATCAAAGCTAATAATATCAAGAAGCTATTACCCACAAATAGAAAAAAACATAAATACTAATTGAAGCTTATCAAACACTAATACGTGGCATCGTGCGTTGCACGATGACGACATCTTTTGATTAGAAAAATGTGTAAATTAAGTTGAGATGAAACGAAACTTGTTAATTAAGTGACAGTTGATGAAATAGAATGTAGAACACTGAACATACTTGTAAAAGTAATGCACTGATATTGAAATTAAATTTGTACAAGAATGTGTGGTTTCAAATGTATTTTATTATAAAAAGAAAGAGGATTTTAATGTTAGGAGATGCAATGTGCGCACTGTTGTTGGTGCTTTTTTTTTAACGATATTAAGTTTTACGTGCTACTAAGACTTGCATATCTTAGATGTTTTTAATTATCAAATGTTCAGTTATTATGATACAAGTTGTAAAACTTGAGTTTGTTATTCGTCACGATAATCCTTACTTTTTTTCTATTTCGGTATTTTAAAGAAACTATTGAAGATGTATGACTTACTATTATTTTTATAACATTTCCAACAAATATGTTATATTTTCTCACTGTTTTAACAAACATAATTAGTTGTGACCTCAACCCAACCAACCATGAATAGGGTTTTAAACGAACCGAACGTTCAGCGAACCGTTCGACGGAAAGTTCGTTTATTTAATAAATGAACGAACATAAACAATTTTTTTTGTTCATTTAGTTAAACGAACGAACATAAACAAAAGTCTCGTTCGTTCATTTATGTCTGTGAACGTTCGATTGTTTATAGTTCGTTTATATTTCGTTTATATACAAAATTTAATATATAATCTTTTATTTATTTAGTTTGAATTCAAATAATATTTATTTAAGTTTTAGCTTTTTAGAATTTATTTAAATTTAAATTTTATCATCATTTTACTTATTTGAAATTTTTACATTTTCATCGTTAATGTTCGTGTATAATTGTTTATATTCGTTTAGTCCGTTCGTTTATGTTCGTTCGTTTAGCATGTTAACGAACGAACATAAACGAACACGAACACACTTGATTTCTAAACAAACGAACATGAACACAAAGATTTTCGTTCGTTTACCGTTTATGTTCGTTCGTTTATTCGATTAAATTAAACGAACAAACATAAACAAGCCTCTGTTCGTATTCGTTCAGTTCGATTACAACCTAACCATTAACAAAGATTTGGTCAAGTTTTCAAACATTTGAAAAACCAACCATGATTCAAAATGAAAACCCACCTTTGTTGCTTAGACCATTTCTGACCTCAAATTTATTTCTGGTCACTCTTCCCACAAAATTAGTACTTGTTTTCCCCAAAACATCATCATCACCTCCAATGAATCTTTGACTTCAATCTCCATTTTGCTTTCACACCCACCAATTTCTCATTCATAGATTCGATTCTGATTTCTGCAAAATCTTCCTCATACAGAAATCCTGTTTTTAGGGTTTTGGTTAATCTCATGGTGGGGGGTATATGTGTTGTGGATTCACATACTTCCCCATGTTTGGGTCTCGATTCACTCGCATCATCACATGTGAATCACACGAGTAATGGGGATTTGAATCTGCAAAGGAAATCAATCAGCAAAAAACTGAGCTCCTCTTTCATGGATTCCAAGCTTCCAGCAAAAAGAATTGCTTCCAAGAACCAGAAGAGGGTTAAAGGTTTTGTGATTGTTAATGAACTTGGTGGACAGTATGATGACAGTTTTCACGATGTTAAAGCTGTAAGAACTTCTTAATATACTTTCGTTTGAGTATTTAATGCTGAATTGTTATGGGGTCTTAATCGAATTTGCAGATTGTACAGAGGAATTGTGGATGTGTGAATAGGAATAGGATGTTTAGAATGAGTGAAGGCAACAAAATCAGCTTTACAGGATCTCAAATATGTATAAATGTTGTTAATAAACTGTTTTATAGGACTAACGGGCCATTTATTTACCACTATTATTTATTTATTGGGTAAGATTTTAGTCCACCGAAACAACATCGTATGCAACAATTTACCCGGTAAGCGCTTCCTATGGTAAGAGTAGTTGTCTTCACCTACTGGGTAAGACTCTTGGTCCTTGTGTCACTCTTACCGGATAATATTTTTGGTATAAACCATATTTATCTGGTAAGGTAACCTCACTTGGTAAGCGTTTGGTAAACGGCCCCTAACATTCATAGTATGAAACAACCTCCTATGTTTTAGAAAGTGTTACAATAAGTTGATAACGACAACTTAAACAACTTTTGGGCATTCTTTGAAGTTTGTAGGACACTTTTGAAATAAAGCGTTACATTGGTTTTTTTTACAAGACGCTTTTGAGAAGTATGCTACAAACACATATTCTATGAGACATATTTTTCCTTCCAAATAATATAATATAAAAAAAAACTAATATGAGCCTTTATTTGAAAATTGTATTAAAAACTTCAAGGTACGTCTGTTAGCAGCTTAGTGAGCTTTATAAGACTCACAACTTATTCAGTATGCTATACATAGTAAGCTATATATGACTGTTTGATAGTGACTTATACCAAAAGTTATTTCTTCAAATAAACTTTTAGGGGGAGCTTTACGAAGAAAACCAAGTTTTTTTCATACTTGTCCCTCTCAATTAAAAAACGTGCTCTTCCATGTATGAAAAAAAAACCCTCTAAGAGAAAAACCTTCTCAATCAATATAAACAGATTAATCCGCACATACAACTTTATCCATACAAAACTTAATAAAAAACCAACCAAACAGTCCCTTATTATGGCGCATAAAGGTATTCTATCAACCTATTATAACACATTTAGATAAGATACATAATTGTTTGGTCTTATAAAGTTAAATCTATTAAGCCATTTTTTAATATTTGACATCCGTTCTATGTTAGGTTGTTAGGGTTAGTATTAAATTTACTTTTTTTGTATGAATAATATGACGAAATGTTATGTTTTTTACAGCAAATTTTCAATCTTTTCACCTACAAAGCAGTAAGGACTGTTATGAATCAGCTTTACGAGATGAATCCAACGCAGTATCGATGGTTCTACGAGTAATTCCACCAAATTTGTGGGCTCATACTCTTTGTAACACCATGAGATTATTCCATTTCTACTTCTAACACCATTTTCCATTGATTTCAACAGTTTTGTTGCAACAAACAAGCCCAGTGATGGAAAACGCTTCCTTCGGATCCTCCAAAAGGTACATCAAAATCTTACTAGATTCGTTCCCTGACCTTTTACTGTAACAAAATCGGGTTTATAGGACACCAGAAATCTCTAAATGACCCAATAGACTCCTTTGTATGACTTAAGTTTATAGGACCAAACAATTATGTGTCATATGTAAAAGTGTTATAATAAGTTTATATGACGTTTTTTGACGTCTAAAATACGTTTTTTTAGAACACTTTTGAAATAAAGCATCTTATTGATTTTTTAATATGACATTATTTGAAAATTTGTCTTGTAACAACAAGTGTCCAATAAAAATATCTATTCATGGGACGATTCTCAAAAGTGTTACAATAAGTTTATATGACACTTTTGAACTTTTTAACAAGTTTTTAGGACCCTTTTGAAATAAATTGTCCTATTAATTTTTTAGCATCACATTAGCCGGAAATTTGTCTTATAGAAACAAGTGTCAGATAAAATAAATGTATTGACAGGACGTTCTAAAAAACGTCCTATAAAAAAAAACTAATATGTAACTTTTATTCGAAAAGCGTTCAATATAAACTTATTGAAACACTTTTACATATAACACACAATTGTTTGGTCCTATTAACTTAAGTCATATAAAGCAGTATATCAGAACATCTAAACCTTTCGACATCATATAAAACCCGATTTTGTTGTAGTGTTCAAGTGTATTATTAAGCTCATTTTTGTTTCGATAGGAGAAACACGATCTTGCAGAAAGAGTAATGGTGACGCGCCTTCATCTCTACGGAAAATGGGTGAAGGTATAAATTCTCCCATAATAATTGGTTTTGATCTTGTAGTTTTCGAAAGTTTATGGGATTTTGATTTGTGGGTGTTGTTAGAAATTGGATCACGGTGAAATGTATAAGAATCTATCGGATCAGAACTTGGAGTTGATGCGTGAAAGGTTGATGGAGACGGTGATATGGCCATCAGATGATACAAATACAGAGAAGATCGGATGAAGAGTTCTTTGATCGAGTCTTTCATCAATCACTTAGATATGCATGTGTCTTTTTCTTTATCGGTTGTTGTCTAGGTAGATTCGTGCTATGAGAATTTTAGCTGATTTTTGGTCAGAAGTCCATCGCATTATTTTCCACCAAGCAACAAGGAAGGTCTTTGCTTTCTAAACGAGATCTCTGGGAGAATTAAACGAGAACAAGGTCAAAATAAGAGAACACGAGAACGGCCGAATCATATGTTATTTTGCACTAAAATCGCATGCAATCATGGATCACGGTCAACGTAAGGGTGTATGGGTGACTTATTGACTTGGCCTGTGACCTAGGTAGCGGTAAAGATTGCGCTAATCACATTAGATTTTATAATTGAGTTTAATGTAATATCATATGTGATTTTGATCAACGTTCTCGTTTGAACTCGATTCTCTCTGAGTCTATCTCTCTGGATTGTCTCTTAGAGATTGTTTACCAAACGCTTACCCGGGTAAGCGTTTATCAGGTCACACTACTTCATCCGATGAATATGGTAAGAACCAAGAATCTTATCCGAGGACCAGGAGTCTTACTCGGTAAATGAGGGCAACGACTCTTACCACAGTAAGCGCTTACGGGGTAAATGATTGCATAGAATGTCGTTTAGGTGGACCAAAATCTTACCCAGTAAATAAATAGTATTGTTAAATTTTACCGATAAACACTTATCGGATAAGTGTTTATTAAACAACTCCCCTAAGAGTAGTTTGACCAAGTATTTCTTGGTTTACATGGTAATGTTCATCCAGCTGAAATAAAATGAATGTTGTAGGAGGTATAAATCTAATTAAAATGCCATTTAAGATTATATATTTAATACGAAAATGGTCACCAAAACATCAAAGCCCAAAATATTCAATTGTTATACATTAATCTTAGGAGTTGTTTAACATTTGTCGAATGGTTTGATGTAAAATGATTAAATGGCTCTTATGATATAATGTAAAATGAAATATAATTGTTTGGTAATTATTTACAACGAAATTAGAATGCTGAATGATTAAAGGAGACCTATGATACAAAATCATTCAAAAGGTTTTGGAATCATTAAGAGGCAGACTTTCTTTTATCAAATACGATTTACCTTTTAACGATTTAGATGATATCTTTTAATAAAACTATTAAAAGGTAAACAAACTATCCCTTAATTTAAATTAATTCATTCATTCCTATTGGATAATTTAAGTAAAATTTGAGAAAAAAAATTATTAAAATAATAAAATATATTTCTTATTTTATTTCTATTTTTATTGTTGGACTTTATGAATATTAAAAAAAAACCATTTTAACTTTTCAAAGCCATTAAAAAGATTATTAATTTTAAAGAAATGGGCTATTTTTACTATATAACCGATGATTGGTTCGCATAATTCAAAGGAATTGGAATGATCAAATCATTTGTTTGGTTCACGTATTGAAATTGATGGAATCTTTTGAAATCCTTTTGAATTTCACAAATTAAAGAATTGATGATTCTGTGGCATAAGTGAAGAAATTGAATTTCATAACTGCCCACCCATGCTTCCACCACGACCATGCTACTACTGTTACCGTCATGTCCCCTAACCCCCCAACCACCATATTGCTATTGTCTTCATCACATACGCCACCCACCCCCACACCCACTAGCCTAACCCCTACTCAACCACTGAGCCCATGCCACTATTGTTGTTATCACACCCACCCATCCATCCCACATCTTTACGACCATGCTCCTATTGTCATATGCTAACCCCCGACCACCACAATACTACTTCTGCTATCGCAACCACCACCCACTTCTACCCCACCCCCTAAACCACCTCTAACCATTATAACTACTTTCTCCTGGCCCATCGGGGGGGGAGGGGGGCGGAGTTGGGCGACAGGGTAGGCTAGTAGTGGCATGGTGATCGATAGGCGGGTAGTGGGGGTAGGCGAGGCGAGG